ATATATATATATATATATATATAGTATATATATAGTATATATATTTATATATGTATATATATTTATATATGTATATATGTATATATATTTATATATGTATATATATTTATATATGTATATATATTTATATATGTATATATATTTATATATGTATATATGTATATATATTTATATATGTATATATATTTATATATGTTATATACGTTATATATATAACTGTTCAACATCAGCAACATTCTTTGAAGCCTTATTCTGATATCACAAAAATTGGTACTACTGCCAACTATGCTCTGATGAGTATAATAAAATAAAATCAGCAAAATGCAAGCTAATAGAGCTACTAAAGTAGTGTTTATTGGAGTGCAAAACTCTCAGATGAGTTTTCCTGAAGAATGTTCAAATGAAGACACAAGTATTGTTAGTGAAATACTCCAGGCAATCTACTTGTAAATATAAAATTTATTAATCGTCTGACTAATTTAAGGCGTACATCTGCACATTTTATAAAAAACAGTCTTCCTGCTCCTGTTATAGTAGAATTTGACTCAATAAATGTTTGTAATAAGGTAATCTCCTCAGCAAAAAAGTTATGTAACACAAAACATAAATAAATCTTTATCTGACCTGATCGTACTCAATTAGAGCAAACAAACTTTAATAAGCTATATGCTGAAAATTTTTTTTTGAATAAACAGCTCAAATCCAATCTAAAACTTGATCAACTCTTTTGATATGTTGTCCACGGAGATGCTGTTTGCTGTATCGACATCACCAAAACAATCTTAATTTGTGGAGTCGATAAGCCACCCTTCGAGGACGAAAAAACAGCCGCAGATGCATGAAAAATTATGACTGATGAATCTTTGCAAGCATCCACGTCAACCACAAACAATTAGAGCAATGCCCTCCAAATTATATAAACTATCAGCTACACACCCAACAATTAAAAAAAACTTATCATCTGTCAGTTATCTAAACTGTTTTTATACCAATTGTACATCATTGAACCACCAACAACTCCAAGAGCTTTTTCTAGCTGCTACTTATTTTTTAATATGATGTCATCTTTATTACAGAAACATAGTTTAATGAATTTTTAGCACCTTCTTTTCTTAATTACAATATTTACATTAAAGATTGACCTACTCATGGTGGTGGTTTTTATTACATATATTGCAATATATGTAATAAAAAAATTATAGCATAAATGAATGCACACAATATAAATTGCATAAAGTAATTAAACATTCAGAATAACTCTGGCTTGAGCTGATATTAAATAAAGAATCTCTTCTTATAGATGCACTTTTCACCAGCTAGCAGTGTATCAGCCTTCAACAAATTTTGCTAGATCCATTTCATATTCAAAATCTCTTATTGAAAACAAAAATTTCCAAGGCCTAATTATTACTGGGGATTTTATCTTTGCAAACGTCAAGTGGAACAAAGATTGGTTAAATACAACAAACAATGAAACCAGTTTGGACACCAAATTTGCTAATATTATTTTTGAACTCCTCCTCTACCAACATGTAGCCAAACAAATTTTTACACAATCCCACAGTTCTCAAAAAAATGCACTTGATCTAATTATAAGCGAATTTGTTTTGCTGTGGCAGTATCAGTTATCGAATGTTACTATTAGCAATAATCTCCCCAGAAGTTCTAAATTTGCATACAATAAAGGGGATTACAATTCATTTAATGATTATCTTTCCAATTTGGAATGGGAAAAACTTTTTGAAAATTTAGACGCAGATAAATGCTACCAACTCTTTTTTAATATCTACGAGACATGCTGCCAAAATTTCATCCCTTTCATTACTTTTAAAAAAACAAAATGCAAATTACCATAGATAACCTGTGAACTGTTATTCTTAATCAAATACAAAGTTAACAGCAAATGGAAAACCATTTCGCCGGTTAATGAGTACAAACCAACTTGAAATCTAGTCAAGAAAGCAACTTGGGATGCAATCCGTATCTATGAATTTAATTTATCCAATGACAAGAACCCCCCCCCCCCCCCTCAAAAAAAAAAAAAAAAAAAAAATTTTTTTTACTTATATTAATAGCAAACACATTGTAAGCAACTAGATTGTGTCATTGCAATCTATGACTGGTGAAATTAGTAACAACCAAGTTTTTATTGCCAACGCACTAAACAAACAGTTTCAATCTGTCTTTACCATTGAACCTCACAATCAAAGTTTACCTCTTTTTACTAAAGGAACTGCTGTATCACTTCTTTATATCTCCTTTGATTATGAGTCTGTTTAAAGTCACCCCATTACTCAGATAAGATAAGTCCTTATGCACATAAGGCATGCTCTAACACAATAGCAACTCCACTAGCCATGATCTACCAAAAATCAATGGAGCAAGGCATGTTACCAAAGGCATGCCTTGTAGCAAATGTGACTCCTTTGTTCAAAGGAGGTTCTAAAATGAATCCAAACAATTACAGACCCATTTCCATTACTTCTGTACCATGCAAAATAATGGAGAAAATAGTTAAAAATAAGATAATGCAGCATCTACTGTCTCAAAATCTTATATCAAATTGTCAGCATGGTTTCATAAACAAAAAATACTGTGTTACTAATTTACTTGAAACTATGGACTTTTTGACTTTCAATATATCATGTAAGCTTCCTGTTGACATTGTCTTTCGAGATTTCGCGTTTGGCAAAGGCGTTTGACAAAGTTCTTCACACTAGGCTGCTATAAAAGCTGAAATCCTATGGAATTAAAGGTAACATTTTAAACTGGATTAAAGCGTTTTTTTCAAATTTACTCAACTGACTTGCAAGGATGCTGCTAGAACAACTGAGGGTTTGGTTAGGCCAGGCATCAAAGTCAGGCTTAGGGTTAGGGTTACAGCAAGGTTTAAATTTGGTTATATTACTGTAATTAATCGTTTTTGTAAATAGATGAATTTCAAAATGAAATATAATATAAAATAAATAAATAAAAATAACAAAAATTATTATAAAAAATATATTTGTATAATAAAATAATAAACTTAAATATTTATAAATAAAAATAGAAATAAAATAAAAATTTAAAAAGATATATAAATATGATAAAAATAGTATTAAAGAAGTAAAAAAAAAAAACAGAACGGGAACAAAAATAACATGTCCCCGAAAATCGCTATCTATATATATGTATATATATATATATATATTAGGTTAATAATATAGCACTTTTTGATAATACAGTCTTTTTTGGGGACAGTTAACACTTTAATTGTTACAGATTATATATATATATATATATATATATATATATATATATATATATATATATATATATATATATATATATATAAGATAGATAAATAGATAATGATTTAATTTGTATGAGTTTAAATGAAACACAGTTATAACTCAACATATTGTCTCCATTTTATTGATGGGTTTTAAATTTTGTAGCTTATGCTTTTAAACAAAAACACTCAATCACTATACCTCTATCTGATAGCCATCCTAGAAAAGCTAGTAATAACTTTACTATTGGCAGTTTCTTTGCATTTATGTTACAGTATTATCAATTAAAAGTTTGAACAAGTTTTAATCTGATTACCAAAGCAACAGTTACTATTGTACATAATCAACTAATCATAAAATAAATAATACTATTGTTTACAGTAGATTCAAAGTTTAAAATGCGACTAAGTGAATTTTTCATAATATATGAAGATTAAATAAATTTGTTTTACAAATCTGTTTTACTTTAAGAAAATTTTATTAAAACCTTTTGTTGCATGTTACTTAACTTATTTGCTAAAGAATTTCTAGAAATAATTTTTTTTGCTATAACACACCTGTGAGAATCTGTTTTTAGCAGAATGAAGTTAATCTATTAACAGCTCCCTATTATTACTTGAAATTTTCAAAACAACATCAACAACAATTTTGGTTTTTATAAAATTATTTAAAATATAAATCATTTTCAGGTTCAACCCTCGGAATTAGGGTTGGCTTTCAGCAATGCCAACCTAACTGCCGACCTGAAAGTGTTTGAGATCGGCAATTTTTTTCTGACCTTGTTTTTATGTTTTATGGTCAGCCCTTTGTATCAAATAATTTTTGCCGACCTGATGCCAACCTTAAAAAGATTGAAGTTGGCAATACAGGGGTGGGACAGCAAAATGTGAACACTTTTCTGATTGTAATAATTAATTTTCTGTTAAATATGAACTATTTTAAATGTTCAATTTTTGTTTTTTTACATATTATATTTTACTTTGTTTACATATTCATTAGTACTTTGTCTTTCGTTTTTTATCAAATAAACTCAACTACATCTAACGAGAAAATAGTTATAATAAAACAAAAACGTTCACATTTTGCGGTCCCACCCCTGTAATTTGCTGACCTAATTTTTCCCTAATTCCAAGGGTTGCAGGTTATTCAGGGTGGCACAACCCCACTGGTTGTGGTTATCCAGCTGACTCTAAAATGTTAAGGTGATGTACAGTTTTTTATTAGCAATTTTATTTTAGAGGCAACATTGTTTTTTTTTATTTTAATTTAATAACAAGGATGAGCCAATCACATAGTTTATCATTTAAGATTATAGGTGTACTATTTATATTTTAGTCAATTTTGCTTTGTTAAATTAATAATGGTTATAGTAGAAAATGTTAAAGAATAAATACATAAATATTAAATTTAAAAAAGCATTATCATCAACAAATAGTTTAGTTTTTTTTTCTCCCAATTATTTTCGAAGTAGTTTTTATTCTATTAATTATATTATTTGTGTTTTTCGTGTTTTTATGTCTTCTGTAAACTCTTTTTTTGCTTTTGAACTTTTTTCTTTTTTTTTCTAGTAACTCCCAGTGTATATAGACATTTTTGAACATTTGTAAAAAATATTGTTTTAACTACCAACCTAATATAGTTAAATATTGTTTAACTACCACTCTAATATACTTAAATGTTGTTTTACTACCACCCTAATATACTTGAATATTAAAATTTATATTTCAGCTCACTATACTTTTATGAAGTTTGTTCATAAACGAATTGATGCATACAAGTTTGCATTTACTAACGATGAGATCTTTGCAGCAGAAATGGGGTTTGTATTCTAAAAATAATATTTACTTTGTTTTTTATTTGAATAGTTTCTATTTTTTTTGTTAGTTTCTGCTTCGTTTTATTTAGGTTTTAATTTAGATTTTTAAAAATCCTTTCTTTTTATTTTCTTTAACTTTTTTATAAAATTCTTTAATTCAGCAAATTTATGATTTAAGATTTTTTTAATGTATTAATTTATACATTTCTCTTTATTTAGCACCTAAAATTACTTTGGCCCTTTATTTAGTAGCACCCCTGGAGATATAATTAGACGTAATTTGTCAGTTGGTGTAACAACTGAAGTAAAAGTTATTTTTGTTTTAATAATTTGTACAATGATAAGCCTAATTATATACTTAAAATCAAATAAATAAGCCTAGTTATATATTTAAAATCTGGTTTTTAGAGGCAAATCAATTGTGATTAATTAAAAATTTTATTTTCACCTGAAAGTATTATGCTTGGTTATTCAAACATAAGCTTTGCTTAATGATTAAAAGATTTCATTTTTGGCTAAAAATGAAAATTAACTGAATTTGTGTCTCAATGTTGTCTTCTCAAAAATTATTGGTCAGCAGTTAACCTCTGAGGTTTAAAAAAGTAGGTGGGCAGCTGATTTCATAAAACAATAAACAAGTAAAATAAAAAGGATCATTAAATCAGTTAACAAATCAGTTTTCCAACTTTCTAAAGAAAGTTATTTTTTAAATTAATTTTTTTATCAACTTTCTAAAGAAAGTTGAAAAATAAGGACTTTCATTTTTACATTTTTTCGTTTCAATAATATATTATCATGCATGTTTTACTTTTTTTAATTTTCATACAATGAGTATTATATTTTTTACATATTTCTATATTCTTTTAAATTTTTTGAAAGAATATAGAAATTTAAATTAAATTTTTTGAAGTTCTATTATGCTATGAGTTTAAGTAGAAAATTTTGCTTATCAGTCTTTTTTAAAATGATGAATAAATACAATGTTAAACCATTTTTAAGGTTAGTAATAAAACTAATTAAGATTAACTAATTAGTTAATAAAATAAATTAAGTTCATACTTTCTACTATAATTAAGTTTATATTTCATAAACCATTTGTGCATGGTATAATTTTATATGTAATACTGATCATGGTATAATTTTATATGTGATACTGGCCATTACTCCATAGTTGAAAAAGTTTACTAAGCAGTTGTCAATTTTTTTTGTTTCGCTGTTAATAGCATTCTATACTTTAGAATGCCTTCGAAGCATCAAGTTTGTGTTTGGTATGCAAGTTGCTCACAAACTAATTATAGTTCCGAGTGTCCAGTTTTTAAGCGAAGTTTCATTGGAGATCTTAAGTACTCTTCATTGATTTTGTTAATTGACTTTTATGATACACCTATTGTGGTAAGTATAATTTTTGTGTGTGTGTGTATCTATTATCAAACATAATTTATTGGGCGTTGATACATAACAAATAAGATAAGACACCCTTAAAATAAATAACTTTATGCTTATTTTATTATTTTTCAGTCTGAAATAAATAATGGAAGTATAATATACAGCGACCAAGTAACTTTACTTTTTTTTTTTTTTGATAATGATAAAAGTAAAATGGAGTTCTCAGATAAAATTGGTTCAGTTGTAAATAGCTTAATCCAGTTAAGCATTGATGTTCGAGCTGTGCTAGTTGATAAGTAAGCATCTATTTTTTAAAAAATTTCAATTTTATTGTAAATTTTTTTTTGATTGACATTTATATAAAATTTAGGCGCAAAAATCCAGAATTGTTTGAGAGTTATGGTATTCATGAAAATGTAATTCTACCAACAGTGATGTTGCAGTATCCATTAGAATCCAGAAAAACTGAACACAAAGGCATAACGGTGAATTAAAATAAAAACTAATTATTAGAGATTTTTTAATAATCTAACAAAATATTTAATACTCTAACATTAATGTTTTTTTATTTTTAGAAAATTGTGGATTCATTTCCATTTGATGTTGACTTAACAAATGAGAATATATACAAATTTGTTCATGACAGCATTTTAAAACCACAAGTTTATAGTAAGGTTCTTTATTATAATTTTTTTAACATTTTTAGACGCAAAAACCTACTTATCTTTGCTTAACTGTGGTTATAAGCACTGACCTGAATCTCTAAATGTATCAAGATGATATATGTATACATTGTCCCAAACAAAACAAAAAACAGTTTCAAAAAGATAAGAAAGTTTAATAATCAGATTCTTCTTTGATTAGTAAAGTTATAGTTATGATGAAATATACATGAAATGAAACACATATTAAACATATTATGAAATGAAACACATATTAAACATATTATGAAATGAAACACATATTAAACATATTATGAAATGAAACACATGTTAAACATATTATGAAATGAAACACATGTTAAACATATTATGAAATGAAACACATGTTAAACATATTATGAAATGAAACACATGTTAAACATATTATGAAATGAAACACATATTAAACATATTATGAAATGAAACACATATTAAACATATTATGAAATGAAACACATATTAAACATATTATGTAATGAAACACATGTTAAACATATTATGAAATGAAACACATGTTAAACATATTATGAAATGAAACACATGTTAAACATATTATGAAATGAAACACATGTTAAACATATTATGAAATGAAACACATGTTAAACATATTATGAAATGAAACACATATTAAACATATTATGAAATGAAACACATATTAAACATATTATGAAATGAAACACATATTAAACATATTATGAAATAAAACACATATTAAACATATTATGAAATGAAACACATGTTAAACATATTATGAAATGAAACACATGTTAAACATATTATGAAATGAAACACATGTTAAACATATTATGAAATGAAACACATGTTAAACATATTATGAAATGAAACACATGTTAAACATATTATGAAATGAAACACATGTTAAACATATTATGAAATGAAACACATGTTAAACATATTATGAAATGAAACACATGTTAAACATATTATGAAATGAAACACATATTAAACATATTATGAAATGAAACACATGTTAAACATATTATGAAATGAAACACATATTAAACATATTATGAAATGAAACACATATTAAACATATTATGAAATGAAACACATATTAAACATATTATGAAATGAAACACATATTAAACATATTATGAAATGAAACACATATTAAACATATTATGAAATGAAATACACTCATTAAAAGTAGCCTCCTCAACTGTAGTGGCCCCCTCAGCTTTGGGAAGGTGAATAACATTGATGAGTCTTTATTGAAGAAACACTGATCAATAAAAACTCATTTCTAATGAATCTTTATTGGTGAATCACAGCACAGTGGGCCAGATGATGGACATAAGTAAAAAAAATATATTATTATATTCCATGTTATAGCTTAAACATTCAGGGTTTATAAAATATATATAATTTTGTATAATTATTATGTCGTATACTTCTAAGCTATAGAATAAAAAGTATTTTTTTTTTTTTAATTTTTTTATTTCTATTTAGTAGTATTTTTTGTGTTACTAATAAGCATAAAATAGTTGTTAATTTTAAAACTTTTTATTTCATGTTTTTATAATATCAAATATTACTTTTCAAATGAGCTATTGCAACACTATTTTGTGCCTAAGTTATGTCAAATAAAATGATTTTAAATGACTGCAAATTTGATGTCCTTTTTATTTAGTTGAAATTTTACTTATTATATTTTTTCAAAATATATTTGGTTTATAATCAGTATAAAAACATTATATATATTTTATTCTAAATGTTATAACCATTTAGAATAAAATACATTTTTTTTTTTTTTTTTTTTTAACATCTTTACTTCCAACAAGGCTGCAAGCAACCACTATAAGAGTTGGAAGTTACTGGAAGAGAAAAGATTAAATCTGTAGAGCAAGATGACGATTGACTGATGACTTAAAAGATTGCAAATTATATGAATCAGGAAAGCAAGATGAAGGAAGCGAATTCCAAAGAACTGATGTTCGAGGAAAAAAACTAGAAGAATAAGAGTTTTTGAAGCACTTAGGAACAGTCACAGAAAAAGGATGAGACTTAATTGAATGGCGAGTAACACGAGAATGAATTTTAGTAGATGGCACAAGGGACGCTAGCTCTTTAGAGCAGTACCCATTAAAGTATTTGTAGAAAAGAGAAAGAGAAGCAACATTACGACGATGTGACAAAGGTTGGAGATTGGCTGCCAGAGCAGGTCCAACTATGTTTACAATTCGTTTTTGCACCTTGTCTAAAAGAGAAAGAGCATCATTAGAAGATCCGCCCCAGATGTGGCAACAGTATTCCATTCAGGGACGGATTTGAGATTTATAGAGATAGAGAATAGAATCCGGAGTAAGAAAGTGTCGAGCTCGATAAAGAGATGCAACCTTAGCAGATGCTAATTTTGCAATGGATTTGATATACGGTTTAAAAGAAAGATCAGAAGTAAGAGTTAATCCTAGAAGATGAATGGTAGATGGCTCATCTAGTACATTACCATTCATAAATATAGGAAGATCTAAATTATTACGATAACGATTGGCCGAATAAAATTGAGTTTTATCTGAATTAAAGTTCACCAGCCACTGTGAGCCCTATGCTGTAGCAGAAGTGAGATCCTTTTCAAGCTCAGATACCCCCTCCAAGCAATCAGAGAGTGTAGGCTTCTTATCATGACAAGAGTAAATGGTAGTGTCGTCAGCGAATAATGCCACCTTAGATGTGAGAATATCTGGAAGATCGTTAATGTAAATTAAAAAGAGTATAGGGCCAAGGATTGAACCTTGAGGAACCCCTGAAGTTACAGGATGTGAAGAAGAGTGTTGTCCATCGAGGACAACTTTTATACTACGATTGGAAAGAAAGGACTCAATAATCTTAAAGATGTTACCAGCTACACCATAAGAAGAAAGCTTATGGAGAAGACCAGCATGCCAAACTTTATCAAAAGCTTTAGAAATGTCAAGTGCGATAGCCTTAACCTCTCCACCTCTATCTAATGCACGGTAAAACCTATCGGTTATTACTGTTAGCACATCAGCTGTAGAACGAGAAGACTGAAATCCATATTGATGATCAGAAAGTAAGTTATTTGATTCAAGATGAGAGATTAAGTGTTTGTTGATTAAAGATTCAAAAACCTTGCTTATGACAGGAAGAAGACTAATGGGACGGTAGTTAGATGAATCAGATCGCTCTCCAGAATTTTTGAAAATAGGGATAACAGATGCTGCTTTCCAGCATGATGGAAAACAAGACTCTGATAAGCACTTGTTAAATAGTTTTGAAAGTATGGATGAAAGCTCCGGAGAACACCTCTGCAAGACTACAACAGGAATGTTGTCAGGACCACAAGCTGTTGAAGAGTCTAAGCAGGAAATTACTTTTGATACAGAAGCTGAAGTGATGTGAATGTCAAGCAAGGGATCAACCTGTTTGACAGCTATGTCAGGTAAAACGCAACTAGTGGAATCGAGAGATGATATTGATGAAAAGTTCTTAGCAAACAATTCAGCTTTGTCTTTAGGTGAGGTGACAAAGTCTGAACCATACAAGAGAGAAGGAATAACAGATTTGCCCTTATTATTGATACTGTTAAAGATTCTCCAGAAGTCTCGAGAGCCTAATTTTTGTGATGAGATACGAGATTTAATGACCTGAGAATAGCGAGCTTTGGCGTCAGACAAAACCTTTTTACAATGGTTTCTGGCGATAGTGAACAGATGTCTGTTTTCTGGAGAATTGTTTTGCTGATAGATATGGAAGTAACGGTTTCGATTAGAAATTGCTGCAGCGCAATGTGAGGAAAACCAAGGAGAAGAGTGAGGCTTGACCTGGAATCGTCGAGAGGGAATAAAAGATTCCATGCCAGCCTGAATCCACGAAGTTATGTAAGAAGCACATTTGTCAGCAGGAAGACGAAAGATTTCTACCCAAGGGCCATCACGAAGAAAATCGCGGAAAGAGTCCCAGTCAGCTTTAAGGTAGTTGTATGTGGTACGATGATAGGGGGATTCTGATGAAGTAGAAGAGTTTGATAATAGTTTTAGAGAGATCAAACCGTGATCAGAAGTACCTAAGGGTGAATGTAGAGAAATTGAGCACTGACTAGGATCCAAAACAAGACATAAGTCGAGTAGAGAAGGTAAATGATTAGGGTTGTCTGAAAAACGAGTTGGAAAGTTGACTATTTGAGTTAGAGATTGAGAAAGACAAAAGTTGAGGGCCTTAACGCCAGCAGAGTCACTGACACTAGAGCCAAGCCAATCGGTGTGATGGGCATTAAAGTCACCAACAACGACGATATTGGCCGATGGATAAAGAGAGAGGGCTTGGTCAATTTGATCAGAAATAGCATCAAGAATAGTGCAATCTTGGGATGAAGGAGAGCGATATAGAACAAAGAGAAAGGCGATAGAGTGAAGTTGTGCTAAACGAAAGCACATAAATGAATAGTCTGTAGATTCAAACCTAGTTTCACGACAAATGGGTGAGTTCTTACGAATGTAGATGCCCAGGCCAAGCATGTGATTATTGGAGTCTTTACGAATTAAAGGTAGATAACCATCAACACTAAGATCACAAGATGGGACAGCTGAACTCAAATTAATCTCACAAAGAGCAAGTAGGTCTGGTGAACTTTGCAAGAGATAAGACTCAACAGAAGAAAAGTTACTTCGAAGACCACGAATATTAGTAAATGATAGGTTTAGAGAACTTGGTGATGACGATGGTTTTTTGTGTTTTTTAGTTTTAGGTACTTTAGTCATTTTGAATTTATAAAGAACTTGACTCAAGTATAGATAGTACTCAGTACACTATTTAACAACTAAGCAATAGCCTTATTACTATTAATAAACCCTAAGCCGTAACAAAGGGCTCCAAATGTGGCCTCTACAATGCACACCAAAAGTACAAATAGGGACACCATCCATGCGCAACATGGCACTGTTAGTACTCTGATATTTTTCGGCTGTTGATGGAATCAGCCTCTCTGAG